GCACTCACTGAAAGTCATTCTAGGTCATTTTACTCCTACCATTGAGCTGTAGCGTGGCGATTTTTACATTATTGAAATTTAAAATTTAAAAAAACCTCTGTTCCAACCGTTTTGCCCAGAGATGTAAACAAAAAATGTTCATCATTGTTTGGTTTATCACCTCTAGAAAGTCCATCGGATATTTCCCTAATGAGCCACAGGCAGGAGCCACAATTTCCGTGACTCGTGGTTGTATATTCTATACCGCGATTCATGATAATTTTCAGTTTGTGATTGAACACCGACAAATCATGGTACAAAGTCCGTTTTACTTTGTGTTTTTTTTCATTGTTTGATATCGATCATCGACATAGAAAAATGATTTTGTTGGAGGTGGTTCACCGATCTATGAAAGGGAGTGATAAAGAGGAAGTCATTAAAAGAAACAACAAAAGTGGCATTTAATTGAGGTTCAAGTCAACATTTCCAAGAATCCTATTTCAATACTGGGCAACCTACCCCAATAGTTAGATTAAGACAATTTTAGGGTTCAACACCGGCGGGCCTTATGATGTGGGCCCGGCATCACGTGTTTAGAAACAAAAACAAACAAAAAAAATTAAACTTAAAGGATATATTATACTGTTGATTGGATTAGAAATTCAACAGATTGGTTTTGAGCATTGGGTACATGCTGGCTTAAGGCAAGACTTTGAAAGGGGAACACAGTTGAAATAGTTGTTCTTTTTGATACAGTGGTACCTCGGTATACGTCCGCTTTGGAATAAGTCCTACGTGGTATACGTCATGTTTGGTACACGACCCTCGTTTGGAATACGACCCGCGTGCGTGCTAGAACTTGCATGTGTCAAAATGACACATGACACAAAGACTAGGATGGGTGCACTCTCTTTAGGCTCTGGGGAGGAGGAGGAGATAGAGGAAGCTCCTACTTCATTTACTCAAGAAAATCTTTGCTCAATGGATGGATGTCAAAAACTTTGCAGAGAAGCACCACCCCCAACAAATAAGCCCAAACAAGTCGTAATGGCATTGGCTGGAATGACCAGACCGTGTCACATTCTCGAAACATCCTAAGGAGAAGTCAAAAACAAAGCTCTTTAGACAGATTTTTAGTGAAAGTCAAACCTGGAGTGTCTCATCCAGGGTCAACAAGGGACAAAAGACAAAAAAACAAAAAAAACAACAAAAAAACAACGAAAAAAAACAACAGAATGTCATATTCCTGAAGTTTTATTGGAAGCGGTTTCTCCTTCAAAGCAATGACGTCGCATGCTTCTCAGCACCCTATTTAGCAAGCACTTGACTCTTCTCACCAAGGTAAAGCGAGGTTCAATTTTCATTTATTTTACCTACGTTCTTGTTATTTATGTAGTTTAGTACTAAGCAGAGTTTACATTATTTAATACAACCACGCAAATAAGTGTTTAATATGGCAATAATAATATATTTTTTTATTTTCATGGGAACGGATTAATCATGTTCCCTTTATTTCTTATGGGAAAAAAAAAAGTGTTTGGTATACGTCCTGTTTGGTATACGTCCTGTTTGGTATACGTCCTGTTTGGTATACGTCCTGTTTGGTATACGTCCTCAAACCATATGCAGGACAAACCATATGCAGGACAAACCATATGCAGCTGTTTGGTATACGTCCTGTTTGGTATACGTCCTGTTTGGTATACGTCCTGTTTGGTATACGTCCTGTTTGGTATACGTCCCGTTTGGTATACGTCCTGTTTGGTATACGTCCCGTTTGGTATACGTCCTGTTTGGTATACGTCCTGTTTGGTATACGTCCTGTTTGGTATACGTCCTGTTTGGTATACGTCCAAGGATCTGCAACAGATTAAGGACGAATACCGAGGTACCACTGTGTTTTTTGTTGTTTTTTTCCTTCAAAAAAACAAGCCCATGTTTTCATTATTTCACTAACGAAAATGCTATAAATTTCATTGATTTAAAAAAAAAAATAATCAAATTAGTGCAATGTGTGATGATATTATTCTCATTTAATGACGAGCTATGATTAAAATAAGTAAATGTGTTAAATGTATTACTATGCTGGTCCCATGTTCTACACAGGCATGTGTTGTGAATGTGTTGTTGCTTCTTGTGGTCCCTTGTGCTTACTGTGTTTTTACCGGGTATGTTCTTTGTTGCTAATGTGTTTCTACTGTTTTGTTGCTCTGTGTTTGCTGTGCTGTTAATTTGATGTATTTGTGTTTTTGAGCTGTATTGTTACTGTGTTTTACTGCGTTGTTACTCTGTTATTACTGTCTTTGTACTGTGTCGTTACTGCGTTTTTACTGGTTTATTACTGTGTTTTATTGTGTTGGTAGTATAATGTGTTGTTACTGTGTTATTAACGTTGCTGTGTTGTAATTGGCCCACTAAAGCATCGAAAACAACCACACTTTCAAACTTTCTCATCTTGGTTTGCCATCTGTTATGTTTTGATGTATTCATATCACACAAGTATTGCTACTTTCGCGCAACCTTTCACTGACGTAATCCTGAATCTTGTAAATGTGCTTCTAAGATGTGACAGATGTAAACCTGTTTTCAGACGGCACTGTTATTATTAGCTCCTTCTCTATTTAGTTTGTAGATCCGTCCTGGCCGTCATATTTTTACAAGCATATCGAAGACATTTGTATATTCTGACCTAATAAGATGAACCGAGTTAATTTGATTGATGGAAGTCATTGGATTGACGTTACATGCATGGCTGCACACATTGACAGCATCATTTCATTCACGCTTGAGCAAGAGACGAACCGTTTTTCTTCGTAACATTGTTTAGTTCTTTGCCAGCTGGTGTGTGTCTGCTATTCTAAAAGAGATTTTCCCTGACAATATGCTTCTCAAGTATATGGTTTTTTTTATATGGTGGTACTGACTAGTCTGCTATTCAAGTATATGGTGGTACCGACTAGTCTGCTATTTAAATATATGGTGGCACTGAGAGTATGCTATTCATGTATATGGTATCTCTGAGTAGTCTGCTATTCAAGTATGTGGTGGCACTGAGAGTATGCTATTCAAGTATATGGTATCACTGACTAGTCTGCTATTCAAGTATATGGTTGCACTGAGAGTATGCTATTCAAGTATATGGTATCACTGACTAGTCTGCTATTCAAGTATATGGTGGAACTGAGAGTATGCTACTCAAATATATGGTGGTACTGACTAGTCTGCTATTTAAATGCATGATGCCACAGACAGTCTGCTAATCAAATACATGATGGCCCTGACAAGAAGATTGGTCTATCAAATGGCTTTGAGCGTTGTATTATAGATATTTTTTTAAAAAAGGGAAGCTATGCGGTTACTCACGATCAGGCATAAATAATTATGTTGTTATGTCCCCTTACCGGTGAGTCACCGTCTTCATTAAAGTGTCATTTCCTACAGTTTTAAAGGCCATGTAGAAAATACCATACTACATGTATGTGGCAGATGAAACAGTCATTATGGATGACCTATGACCTCTAGCTTTTTTTTCACCTATGCTATTTTCTGAGAAAATCTGACGATTTAGTTTATTATTTTTTTCTTTCTACTTACTCAACGTGCTATAATGATAATGAAGTTTTCACTTGGGGCAGGTTGGGTGAGGGGTAGGGGGATGGTGTTAAGGGAGGAGCCCGAGGTGGTTGCGGGACAGGGCCACATGAGGCGTGCGCCCTTCTTTGCTAATTCATTTTAAACTCGACTACAATTATCCACAAACAATTTACACAGACCTTTTTTTTTTCAATTTTTTTTATTATTTTTTACCACCATGAAGAGGGAGCTTTGGATATTGATTTGACGGATGCTTTAATTATTTACGCTTCTACATTTGGTGGATTTAGGAGGAGGGGGGGGGGAAACAACAATAAGCTAGTCATCTCTAAATAATGACAAACCTAAAAGAGGAGATGATGTCCTTGGGGGTTGAGCCCCCCCCCACCCCCCCCCCCCCCCTCCCCCCCACTGATGTTTTAAATTGCAAATTGAAAGCCAAACGAGTGTGCACAATAGCGTTTCAACAACGGAAAGGAGATAACAACGTTGTTGGCAATGGTTTGATGGTTACAATGGCTGCGGGTGACAGAGCAGGCATCGAACATCAACACAGCATGACATCACGTGGAGGGGACCAAAAAAACAACAAAAAAACACCAAACAAACAAACAGTATCATCATTAACATGGTAAGGTGATATTTTCGAAGCTGATACATGAATTATTTATAGAACAATTTCATTAAGACAAAAAAAAATAAAAAAATCAGCTTTTATTTTTTTATATTTATTTGAAAATTTCCATAACAATTTTCTTTTCTATTGTATAAATGATGCTGGGAAAGATACCGTGAATAGTGGAGACTAAATTATGCAGGCGATTGAGACTTACGAGGAGACGACGTTAGACTCTACTTGTATTCGAGTTTTACAGTGTGGGGAGATAACCATAATTTACCATTACTTAAATTATTTCCTTCTGTGTTTAAAGAAAAAAAAAAGACATTATTTTGATAATGGTTTTACATTCCTACAAATGTTTCTCTTCCCGATCTGTATGTGTAAGCCGCTGACGAAGGGGAGTACTTTTGGGAAGAAAGTTCGGTGAAAGAATAGTCTTGAACAACTTGGCGAAAACTCTCCAATCCATTTTCATATGTCAATTGTTTAAATAATTCAGACACAGTAAACGGCTTCGGGGGGGGGTGGTGACACACGTGTCAACTTTGTGATTCCGCGGTTGCTAATCTTATATATGTGAAG